GGAAGGAATAGTAAAAACCTAGAGGCGTAGCATTTATTTTTAATATTTTAATTTACATCGCAGTTATCAAAGTTTTTGTTATTGATATATCTTTACTTCCTTATTTATATTAAGGAACCATTTTCGAGTTATATACTTTGGGAGGAGTGTAATATTTTTTTTATTATTTTTTCTTAAATTTTTAAAATATTGTACTATATATAATTTCATTTATTCGTATTTTGCGATCGATTCAGATCCCTAGTACGATAGATTTAGAAAACTATTTCTATAAAAATAATATTATAATGCTAATTATGTCAGCTTACACTTACAAAATAGCATCCAGAATAATATTCTATTGCTCATTCTCGCAACGACTGCGCCTTCCATAGAGTTAGTCACGTTGAACAAATCATGTGATCTTTGCTTTGCTTTTCGTAGAACAATAGTGTCGATCATAATCTATTTTGAATAAAACACAGAGTTTTATTCCCGTTAAACTTTCTTTTTTAAATAAATTTTATTTCATTGCATTATGTCCTCCATTCGTATGGAATTAGTTAAAGATGCATATACTAGATCATTTGCATTAACCGATTATAACATTTACAAAGACATAGACAAACATCATGAATTTAGACAACAAACAATTTACGCTGACGATTTCTCACAAACGATGAAAAATCAGAGGTAATATTACAATTAAATAGAAATTATGAATTTCAAAAAATTACCTATAATCAAGGAATGAAAAGAGTTTGTGAAAATTGCAAACAAGAATGTTTTGCAATAACATATTGCAAACATTGCATTCGAAATTATTTAAAATTAAAATTTTCAGAATGAACATCGGGAAATAATGAAATTGATAATTTAATAAAGAAATGTCAGATAGAAGCTGTGCTTCCATATAGAATAGTTGAATGGATCTCATTCGATAAATTACAAAATATCAAATATTTAACTAAAGGTGGATGTTCAGAAATATATACGGCAGATTGGATTGATGGACATTGTTACGAATGGGATTGTATCAAAAAAACAATTCATAAGATATGGAAGACATGTAGTCATACTTAAAAGGTTAGAAAATGTCGAAAGTGCTAATAGAAGTTAGTTTGAAGAGGTATGTAATTTTATAATTATTATTAAAGTTTTTTTATAAAAAAGAAGAATGAAAGAAACTAATCAATTAAATTCTCTTTTATAGGCTTAATCTCAATTAATATTAAGCAGTAAATGGGGAGGTATCGCTCAATCTTATGGTCTTACTCAAGATCTGCAAAATAAAGATTATTTTCTTGTAATGAACTTATTCAACATAGTTTTAAGAACATATTTACAACTAAATCATAATCAACTTACATGGAAACAAAGAATCAACATAATTCAAAACATAATCTATGCAGTTTTACGCCTTCATCAAGAAAATTCTATTCATAGAGATTTGCATTCAGGAAATATATTATATTTTGAATATAGTGGTAATTGGTATATTAGTGATTTTGGATTTTGTGGCCCTGCTGATAAACCATTAGAAAGTATATATGGAAATCTTCCTTATATAGCGCCTGAAGTTATTAATGGAAAAGGATATACTTTTGCATCTTATGTTGGAGATTTCATCTGGACAACCGCCATTTGCTGGTTTGGAACATAATTATGATCTAGTAATGAAAATAATGAATGGAGTGAGACCAGAAATCATACCGGGAACTCCATTGGAATATGCAAATTTAATGGTACAATGTTGGGATGCTCATCCATTTAAAAGACCAACGATTGATATTCTTAGAAATAAAATTTTACAAATGAATAATTTGTATTATCGAAATGAAAATGAAGAAAATATAAAATGTAATGAAAATGTTAATATAAATGCTAGCTCTATTAGTTCAATAGTTAGAAAATTTAGTAAAATTCATATTTTTAAAGATTTACCTGACCCAAAAAATGCTGACGAATGTAAGTTTTAAATTACAAATTATTGGCAATAAATTATTTGAATTATTTAATTTTTTAATTTTTAAATATTTTATAAATAACTGATATTTTTTTAAAAATTAGCTGATAGTAAACAAAATAGTCTTAGTATTCCAGTAAGTAAGTATAATAGTTTATATATTATATATTAT